TACGTGTATGTCCACCTTCTAACTCGCCGGGTTTTAATAAGTATCGAACAGTAGTCCCTTTCGGTATTTGCTCTTCGTTTTCCCCAATGGGTCTTTTGTGTTTTATAGAAGGTTTAGATATTACTTTTTCCAACTTCATTGCATCAATTGGGGCCATACCGATAAGACGTGTTGGAGTACGATTCATATCATCAAAAATTACTTCGAGAATTTTATTCCATAATGTCGAACGCTCCCCTACTGGTAATTTAGATTCTATAGCATATTGAATATCATATACTATTTTCGCCAAACTTCGTTTTAATCTTTTAACCAATGCTAGGCTTTCGAAACTATAAAGATCAACAACCCAAATAGGTACATTATGACGTTCCATTCCTCTTGCAAAGTGTCCGGAGAATTCTTTACCACCATCCAGCATCAATAATTCCGGCCATGTGTGAAGATTGTTAGGATCATTGTAAATTTCTTCGATAGCTTCCCAAACTTCTAAACTATTCTTCGATGTTAATGAGCGTCCACTTTTATAACGTGTAGCAACGTCTATAACCACTAATGTATAACGATATATTTTTTCACCATCCTGATCATCACAACCATGGGCTAATAGATCACACTGATGTACTTTGTTTGGTATAGATATCTTCTGGAATCCCGCCCCTGCTTTGCATTTTTGTGGAAGAGAAATATTTGATTAACATACTGGTGCTTTAACCATTTTGCGATATCTTGCAGGGAAAAATGATCGTACCCTTCTCTCCAACAAGCTTTTTGTAACTGTTTTGTGGTTGTATAAAAACCAGGTACGTGATAGTAGATTAAACGAAGAACGAATTTTAATTCCTCATCTGCACTGATTATAATACTAGGTACACTCATTGCCATGATTGCGAAATGTTATAATCAATACTATAAACCAAGCGGAATTTTTTGTCATGAGTTTCAATTTCGATCCAGCTTATTTAGCATTGCTGAAAAGTAATCACGAGTTGAGGAAGGAACTTAATGCGGAGACAATTATAAATCAAACAAACGAGAAAAAAATTCGCGTTCTCATAAAAGAGCTAGAACAATGCAGTAGGACCATTTCATTTCAAGATACCACAATCATAGCTCATGAAAAAGAGATCCAGGAACTCAAATCCCAGCTATCTGATTTGCATAAGCGTCTCCGGTCTGCTTTAAAGGATGTAGATAAAACAGAGAGTTATATACTTGTTCAAGAACAACAGTTGGCTACACTCGAAGAGGAAGTGCTCGTATTAAAAAAGAAAATTCGAGAAATTACCTCTCGGAAGTATAATAAACTTTCAATGTCTGATCCAATTCAACCACCTAGGCCCAATGAACTCAATAACATTTTTGAAACGGTTCAGGATGAATGTAGAGATATTGATGATCATTTTCAAGGGCCACAATCTTCTCAATTGAATCAGAGAGATATTTTGACCAAACTTAATATTATCACTAGTTCCGCAAATAGATTGAAAGAAATCGCTGACTGGGAAAATGACGAAGCACAAACCCAGTATCAGCAATATGGTCAGGTGATTGCGGGGTTGAATAATCAAGCAACTCAACTTCAAGCCCAAATTCAGGGAGATGCACAAATTATTATACAATTACAGGCTCGGTTGGATACTGCAAATAATAATTTCGATCTTCTTAATCATGCCCATAATTTCCAGACGGGACAATTGCAAACATGTCAAGCTGATTTACAAGATTGGCATAGAAAGCATGCAAAGAGGAAGGGTAAGCATGTCAAGCAAAAGGTGAAACATAAAAAGTGGGAAAATAAAGAAAAGGATTCCCGGCTAAGAATAATAAATTTAAATCAGCAAATTTTAACGCTTCAGAATAATCTACCAAATATGACAGCTATAGGTGACTTAACTGGTATTACACCTTTACTCGCAAATGTTGAATTCTATGATGGACAGGTTCAGCCCGATGAATGGTATAATAAAATTCACGCAATACTAGCTATTCCTGCGATAACTAATCTCAATGATGCCAATAAAGTAGCTATTTTAAAAAGTAGACTTGGTCGAAAATATGCAGATGTACCCGATCAACATGCTGGAAATAATATTGATACTCCAGCTCGCTTTATTGCATGGTTACATTATAAATATCAGACGGAACACAGCAAGTTGCTTTCCAGAGATTAGCTTACGAAAAATTTTTACCTAATGATACGCCGGAAACATATGAGATGAGAATACGCCCCCTATTATTGGGTGTTGCCGATGACGATGCTAATGCCTTGTCATTCCTTATGAATCATTTACCTGATGACCTTTTCAATCGAATGGAAAGTGCAAATCCTGCAAATTACAATGCATTTTTCACCGATCTCAATAAATTGTGGCTCAAACGTAGGCCTTCTTCATTTAATTACGGAAGTGCGAATAATATGAATGGGATGGTGTCTCAGGTACCCCAACAAATCGTACAACAACCCGCATTCCAACTACCTCAGCAAATCGTTCAACAGCCAGTATTTCAACCGCCTCAGCAAATCGTTCAACAACCCATGCTCCAACCTCCCCAGCAAATTGTTCAGCAACCGAAATCTCAATCACATCAACGAATTACAAATCCTCCAATATATGAATATCAAAATTTCCATCCAAAAACTGAGAAAGCCAAATATTATGAAGAGCTGAAAAATTACGCAGATATGGGCCTTGAGATTGAAGACAATAGAGTATTTGAACCGATGGAAATTGATTATGCAATTATCAACCTTGCAAATAAATTAGATCAACCTGAGGGATTGTCAAACTCACCGAGTCTGTCAATAAACGTGGTCAGAACCCCTAGAGTAAATACTAGACCATTCCAACGTAAATGCGAAATTTGTAAAAAGCTGGGCCACACTTATCATAGTTGTCCCGTGATTAAGAATATGATTTCTAATTCTAGGAAAAGAACCGGTCATGTGAATTTTGCCAATGGGTTCCAACAAAGCCACTCTGATACAGAAGAAATTCCTGATGAATCTGCTATTTCTGATCAAGAAGGCAATGATGAAATTGATGATGATGTACCTGATAAGGAATCCAATGTTAATGTATCCAGGATTAAAAAAAAATAGATCGACCTAGAGTACTCATTAAGAAAACATCCAATAAACAATCCTGATCCAAAGACATGGAAGATGCATATTTTTCAGAGGGTAAGGAGAATCGAACCCCTCTTCAAGGATCGCAAAATCCCACTTCGACTTTACTAGAACGATGAATTTGTGAGATAATTCAAAGCGAGCTTGAAAATTCTGCTTTATTGGAAGGGATTATACGCAGAATCATCCAGAATTCTAATCCCGCTGATAACCTCCCACAAGGCAAGACTGAGGATGAAGAAATAATCGAAGATATGGAAATTAACTTTGTTCAAGATAAAGATGTGATAGATGTTCCAACTGTGAGGGGTAAAATCAATTGTCTAGTACTTTCGGCAATTACAGTTGATCCTGGCTCAAACACTTTACTTATGTCTAGGGACATTGCCGAATGCTTGGGTTTAAAAATCAATAAAAGTACTACTCATTATTTCAAGGGGGCGGCCACTGTTCTGACTAAATCTATTGGAATGGTTTATAATGTACCATTAACCCTAGCTCCCAGCTGTGTATTTCATTTAGATTTTGCAGTTATTGAATACGAAAAGTCTATGGTTATATTGAGTAATCCCTTCCTTAAAAAACATGATTGTGCGATGGATTGGGCTAAATCCGAAATGAGGCTTCATTGCAACGGAAAAGATTTCATCATCCCAGTTACTATGCATAGAGTTGAAAATGAGCTTGAGGTACATCATGTTAGTGCAATTCCTTCTATTTCCGAAGAGATAGATACAGAATTAAAAAAAAACACGTGATTAATCCTAATCTCATTCCAGATACTGAAATATTAGAGTTCCATTCTAAGGTTTGGGACACACGGCAAAACCTCAAAGATGAATTTCTCAAAGTTTTAGATTATGCTGAATATCTTGAAAAGGAATTGATTCGAATTCAGGATTCAGCTTGAAGCTCTTTAGCATATTTTCACAAATGTGACATTCTGGCTTGCACTTCATTTTCTGGCACTGATGAGGTAGACTGATTATTTAAGATAGAAAGATGTACAGTTTTCGATTCTGATAGATCTCCACCTTTAGATAATTCCACACTAGAACTGACCTTCTTTTTTCTGCTAGTCTTTTTTGTCACCGGTTCGCTCGAATGAATTACTTGCTCAGAATTTCCAACACTTGATGAGCTATGCTTGGGAGATATTTCTAGTTGGGGTGTCGAGATAGATGAGTCATTAAAAGCCATTTCTATTTCAGGTGGATGAGGATATATCCGACCATCTACAATATCATCATATCTATCACTACCGATTTTATAATCTCTACATATTTTGTGTTTTCTATTTGGTATCTTTTTTGCCTCCATATCCCTTATTTTTTTGAATATCTTTGGGAGATAATTTTGTGGCATTGGAGTTGAGATATATTCAAACCCTGGATCTAGTTCGGGTTTTAACCATTTTAGAAAAATATATAATGATATAAAAAAAATGTCTGATTTAAACCTAGGCAAACACCCATTCATTCCTAGTATGTTATCGAGCAAGAATTGAGTAATAATCAGGTACAAATCAGGTAAAAACCAGGTAATAATCAGGTATTAATTAGTATTGATTTGATTATAGGTCTATTTACTACATTCAAACATAAAACTAATTAATTACCAACTTCTGACCAGTTTCTTTTTTATATCAAATCAGTTAATTACCAATTCTTGCCCAGGTTCCTTTTTATATGGAATTAGTAAAAAGCTGATTCGCAATTAGTTTTCTTTGATCATAGTAATTTTTACTAAACATAATTCTCTTTGAATATATGGCACAAATACATACCTTGTATAGTGAATCTACGGATGCCAAAAATTTTCAAGGACATCAATATAAATTAGATAGTACTAGAGAATGTGAGCTTGAATCTCAATGCAATGAGTTGCTTGTTGAAACTGAATTTTTTGCTAATAAATGTTCCGAATTCAGGAATGCCAAAACTCTTGCAGAAACACGATCAGATGGGCTTGCAAAAGAGCTGAAATCAAAAAATAAAAAGATTTTACACCTCCAGAAAAAATTAAATCGAATCACCAATGCCAAAACACGAAATGACTCAAATATGAAACAACTCAAAGAAGAAATCAAACAGTTACAGAGCAAAAATACTAATCTTGTATCCCAGGGTGCTCTTAAAGAACTTTCTCTTACTGGCTATCAAACCAAGTATTACAAAAAAATGGAAGAGGCGAATTCTTTCCAATCTAGAATAAAGTCATTGGAAGAGAAATTATTTTCAGTTCAGAAGGACTCATCTCTGAAAGCTTCCAGGATCAATTCTCTCAAGTCCAAAATAACTGAATTGGAGCACATGAAAGATGAATTATCCTTAAAAGTTAGTGAGCTTGAACATCTAAAATCGGAGGTAAGGTTGCGGGAGAAACTCCTCCAGAAATCAATCGACAGAGTTTCGACAGGTTACACATTAATTGTTTATTAGAGTTTCGGCAGAGTTTCGCATTTGGGGTTTTCGCCAATCATCAGAGTTTCGACAGGTTACACATTAATTGTTCATTAGAGTTTCGACAGAGTTTCGACAGTCATTAAGAGGTTTCGCCCACAACCTTAATCGGAGGATATATCAGAACCCATAGTTGGTGGAGATAATGAAAAAAATACGCAGAGCGATGAACAAAGTTCCATAACCAAGTCTGATGATATATCTGCAGTTCTTGAACCTAGCAAAAACATCAGTCGATATTTTCTATGTGGAAAAAATATGGATCAAGCTGGAAAAATCGATACTATTATACCAGATCACACTGATGATAAAAGTACTTCTATACCTGAGGAATCAGTAATTCAAGGCTATGCCTCATCTCCAAGTGTAGATACTGAGATTATTCCCAATGTAAGTGATAAAATCGATATTAGTAAAACTAATAACAATATACTTGTACAGCCAGAAAATAATATGTCCTCTTTGATTGAATCGAATACCCAGATGGGACCTAGTCCCGAGGCTTTGTCTCCTCCGATAGAAGGAATAGGAACAATTCCCATTGTGGCAAGCACTTTGATGTCACTTCTATCGGCATATATTTTTCTTATCTTGTTGATTATCGCAGTTATGTGGTTCATGGTATTGAGACGTACATGGAATATAGGTAGGCTCGAAGAGCCATTGCTCCGCAATAAAAAACGTGATCGGCTATGGGATGCGTGGGCTAGGTATTAGGAATTATCTATTTGAGATTTTATTAACTAGAACTTTTTATTTAGTTGTTATATTAATAGATAATCAGAAAAATAACTATGAATATTAACGTTATTTCTCCTGCAACACACGCTTTATTAGTACCTGAAATTTTGGAAAATATATTTAGCCATCTTTCTAAAGATGAGGATCTATTTAAGATTATTACAGTCAATCATATCTGGCGCTCTGAAGGGTTTCGAGCTATCTGTAATTTATATGCGTTTCGACTTAATAATTGGGTTTCTCATTTTAATAATACTCTATCAGCATGGTATAAAGGAAAGATTTTAAAATCTTGTCTTAATGATGTTATTTCCTGTGTTTATAAAGATTTTGTTTCATTATCAATGACATATAATAAATACTTTGCTCAAGATAGAAACATGATATTTTTCTTTTCACGAGAAATGTTAGGGGATCTTATAAATGAGTATATATACTTTCAAGGAGATATTGAAAATGCAATGATAGATACATCTAATTACGATTATTGTTATGATATACATGTATATGATAATGAAGAAGAGGTCTCATATCCCCTCGATGTAGATCATCGCAGGCAAATTTGCCTGCGAACTATGCACTTTTTCACCACTAATTAACAATATTTTTTTTCAACTAAAATTTATTATTTTTTTTATATCCTAAATAGTTAAAACTCAAAATTTATGATTTAAAAAAAGTTTTTGGGTATTTTCAACAAAAAAAAAAGGGGTTTTTTTTTGAAAATTTAATGTAAAATTTTTTTTTAAATAAAAAAATTTTTTTAACCTCATGCCTTGTGATAATTTTTAATTATTGGTTCTACCCTATTAAAACCAATACAGAATATGTATATTTTAATACGTAGCACGTCTTTCATTAAGGTCAGAAAACTGGTTTAGTACCCTTTTTTTTTGTATACTATTACACAAACAATTGTGAAAATGTGGACGGATATTCTCGCAGGCAAATTTGCCTGCGAACAAAAAAAAATAATATTTACAAAAATAATTACTATTATTATGTAAGTGATTAGCTCTTGTGCATTGTTGAGTGATTTTATATAAAAATATTTACAAAAATAACTATTATTTTATATAAAAATATTTACTATATTATTTTATATATAAAAATAATAGATATAAAAATAACTATATAAAAATAACTAAAACAAATAAAACAAAAATTATTCTTGTACAGAATGATAGTTTTTAAAACAACTTGGACGTTTGTTGTTGCAACATAATACTACATTGCATTTAGAACACCAAATTTGACTTTGTGGAGGGTTTTGTGGCCTAGGTGCATTTTTTTTTTTTTAAATCATACCTGCACCACAAGCAGGAGTTTCTTTCTTCGCGGTATTCGGGAAAATGATCATTACCAATTAATCTAGTTGCTGGTAATTCAAAAATGTCAGAAACACGAAATCTTTTATTGTCATTTTTCTTTTCAGATGTCTCTCCATTTTCTCCATTACGAGTATTTCTTTTTAATGGGTTTTGAGTTGCTTCCTTAATCAATTCTTTAACTATTTGAATTCTAAACTTTTTATGTTCTTGAGAAATTCCTAACTTTTTACAAACAATAAATGAATTTACAACAGCTGTGTCTAAGAGCCAGAAAAAAAGTGGATACCAAGTCCTGAATGCTATTAATTGAGTGGAATAATAACTACAAAGCTGGTCAGCCACATCAACTCCACCCATGTGGTGGTTGTAGTCATCAATTACTTTAGGAATTGGTAACACCTTTCTTGTTTGATTTCCAAATACAATTTTTAATTTGTTTGTGTTAGTACTTGTCTCTCTTGGTCTTCTTCTATTTCTTTCTATTCTATTTTCCATTCCATCTATTTTATGTATTGTAGTAAGCATAGTCACAGGTCCATTATCAATCCATAATAATGATAATACATTATCTATTACTACACCTTTCAAATGATCCCATTCTAAATTTTTTAACTCTTTTTCTTCTTTTAAGATGGATGGAAATTTTGCAGTATTAGTCCTAATGGTACCACATGCACCATATCCTTGACTCCTTAAATATGTAAATAAATTGATTGATGAAAAGTAATTGTCCATAAAAATATTGAAAGCTTTTCCTAGTGGTAATTGCTTTACCAAATGATAAACTTCTGTGCCAATTTGATTGACATTAGGAATAGTTTCAACAATTGTTTTTACAATTCGTGAAACAAACATAAAGGTGTATGTGTATCCAGAATCGCAAAGTGATAAAATTTTGTATCCTTCAGGATTTGGTTTATTTTTAATTCTGAATGTATGTGGGCTTCTTCCAGAAAATTGTGCTATCATCTCATCAATTGAGACATTGGATGAAGGAAGATATATTTTTTTTGACACCTCACGAATGTGACTTGAAAGTGGCTCTAATTTCATAAAAAAATTGGAATGCTCTGCATAATGATCTGAGATATGTAAAAATCGCTTAATCTAAATGAAAAAAAATATATAGTTTAATATATTTAATTTTCAACATATTGAGTTCAACAATTTTTAAATTTTAATTACCTCATTAAACCTTTTAATTGTCATCATTTTTATAACTTCATGAGATGGATAATAGCTATCAATTACCCAGTAATCTTTGATAGCAGGAAGTTTAAATATTCCCATATAGATTACCAATGCTAACCAGATTTTTAATTCATTTAATGTTAAATCATTCCAATCTTTTTGGTCGGATTCAGTATTTTTTTTATATGCATATAAATTTGTATTCTTTACAATTGTTTGAAGTTGTTTTTCTGAAAAAAATAAACGAAAAATTGAATATGGTGAAGGTTCAATATCATGAAGACTCTTTGGTAATGTGGGTGTTGCTGTATGTAAAGAGTATTTATGTTGAAATGGTATGAAATCCTCTGAAGAAATATAGTTTTTATCTTTATCTTTGCTTTTGACTTTGCCTTTGGCTTTTTTATCATTTTTTTCACTAGTCAAATTTTTTTTTTTTTTACTGGTTCTAAATCATCCAAAAAAAAATCAGGTTCTACTAAAAAATCATTTAACCATTCTTCGTGAATAACCTGACAGGTGAAAAAATCATCATCATCCTCACATTGTATTGAATTTTCATTAGCAAGAGACATGTCCAGAAAGAAAAATTCATTAATTAGAATTAAAAAAAATAAGGGAACATTTTTTTGAAAAAAAATTCCTTTTTATAGAAAATGAGACTGCATTCATTTTTTATAAAAATTTTTTTTTTTTTAAAAAAATTATTCTTCAGAAAAATGATCGGCAAAAGGGTTTTTTACTTTTTCTTTTCACCATCACAAGGATTTGTCATGATGTCATTATGGTCAGATGATTTAAAACTAAGTTTAAAAATTTCCAAAAAGGCAAGAAATAAGAAAATCAAAAAATTCTGGTGCACAAACTAAAATTAAAGTATTTTTACTTGAGGTAATGTGATTTCGAAAAGTTAGCAGGCAAATTTGCCTGCGAGAATATCGAAGGGATAGTGATAATGGAGAAGAGATCTCATACAGTAATAATGCTATCACTTTTGATAGTTAACCAACCTTTAACACATAATCTTTTTCCAAACTAGAGAAGAAAAAGGGGGAAAAAAGAGCACGAGAGTATGAATGAAATTGATTTCTTGGATTACAAGCAGAAGTTTGAAGCTAAAATGAAAGTTCCTACCACTCTGCACAAAAAAGAGTTGAAAAATAAATCTTTAGCTTTCATTGAATATTATTTCAAAATAATGTGATCAGAATACTCTGACTGGGAGTATTTCTAGCCATATATTTTAGGTAAAGGGGGTTTTTGTCACCTTTTACAATGAGTATGCAGAAAAATTTCAAATCAAAAATTAATGCTCAATATATAGAATATATAAAGGGGTTTTTGTGTCATGTGATTTTGGATGATAGGATTTAGATGACCAGACACTTATCAAAGCAGGTTTTTGGGTCGAGGAGAGTAGTCATCACCCGGAGCTAGTGTCAAGACACATAGTACCATTAAACAGATATCGAAAAAGTGATACGCAAAGGTAAGAAAAATCGAACTTTTATGTATCAAAAAAAGATGATATATAAAGGTAAGAAAAAACTTGAGCTTTTACGTATTGTTAGGTAGATATCAAAAAAGTGATATGCAAAGGTTAGCAAAAAAGTGATATGCAAAAGAATACATAGAAGTATGACTTGATTTTTTTAGTATCCAAAGACTATCAACTATGCGAGAAGGGCTTCCAAAACTGAAAAATATAGTAAACTTTTGGTGATACGCAAAGGCAGAATATTATAAAGAAAGAGGTAAGAAAAAATTGTGCTCATCCAGAAAATATAAAAAAATTTTACATGTGTCAATTGTAAGTTTAATAATAAAAAAGTGTAAAACTTACATTGGCACTGTAAGATTTACACAATATTACGTCAGCATCGTAAGATTTATGCAAGTTTACACTAAATTAATTTCCTGATGCTTTTACGTATCACTAAAAAAGAAGGATCAGATGGTAGAATTCAGATATCAAAAAAAGTGATATGCAAAGGCAGAATATTATAAGGAAAGAGATAAGATTAGAGATGGGCAAATGGCGTATAGTTGAACACTATACGACACTATACGATACTTTACATATAGTGCGTATAGTACATATAGTACATATAGTAGTGTTGAAATTTGATTGGGTGATTTTCCAATGTAATACAAAACTGAATAATAATAAGAAAAAAAAAATAATTTGGCTATTACGATAAGCATAAATCTTTAATTTATTCAACCTACACTTTTTTAGGTTTTTATTTATGAATCATTAATTATATTGAATGAATTAAATATCATAAAAATCAAAACTTCTTTCATTTTTATTTGATTCTTCAATTATGTTGTAATTTACCTGTACACCAAGTATTTGAAGTATTAAAATGTTCTCCAAAATAATTTCTTTTAATTTGAATTGTGGCATTTGGACAAAGACGTAAATGTTTTTCACATCTAGATATTGAACTAGAACGTTAATATTAAAATGTTGCCAAATTGCAGGAAAGTTTAAAATATATATTATCGTGAGAAGAGTATTAATTAATTTTTATGTGTAACATCACATCTATTATTTGGCAATAACCTAAACAGTAATTGATTTACATTTACTACTATATTTTTCTAGAACTATACGCACTATACGTATCACTATACGTATAGTATTATACGTATAGTATTATACGTATAGTACTGATTTGCCCATCTCTAGTTCTCAATAACTTTAATAATTTCTAATTAAAGATATATTAAAGAAAATTTTTTCCAAGAATAATAGCATTATTTGCTCTATGAATTACTTAATTAATGGAAAAAAGCATAAAAATCTCGTGATACATTTTACTATTTCACAACGATCCAAATGGTCTTTGATACCTAAGACCAGACCAATTCAGTCCGTGGTTCTGTTGAGCCCGGTCTTGTCCATTAACATTCCTACAGAAAAGAAGCCAGCACCTGGTGACCTTCTTGCTACTTTAAAAACATCAAGTCAATGTTTCCTGCGCAAAATAATTGATAGAAAGCTAGAGGAGGATGAAATAGATGAAAATCAAAAGTATGAAACTCTAAAGGAAGAAACCAGGGAAATAAACAAACCAATGGCCGAAATGAAAGAATTAATGGCAGAAATAAAAGAATCAATAATGGTCGAAATGAAAGAATCAATAATGGCTGAAATTATGGAAAAATCAAGATGAAATTGTTTGTACTAATAATAAAAAATAATGGTGATTTAACATCAAGTTTCTTTTAGAAAGAATCACCCTCGGATGACTTCGCCACTAACAGTATATTTATTTATTTACTATATATAGAAAATAAATAAATTTGAGACAGCATTATTTAATATCTTAAAAAAAATATATATTTGGATAAAAGTTTTGATGATAATAATGATATCACATCTATTACTGTTGACGGCAAAAAAATAAATCTTATTATTCATTATCACTAATGACTAGTTTCTCCATTCTCTATTTTTTGTAAATTGTCCCATTTTTTCTTATCATAAACCCAGATCATTTCTCGAAAACAGTTAAGCATTGACCACACATACAGTCTTCGCCTAAAGCATGTTCTTGGATAACTTTGACAAATGATGTTGCTTCAATTAAACCATTTCTTGAAAGTTTCAACAATGTTAACTTCTTTTTTTAAATCATCTAATGTTTTAAAAAATTTGCTCATAACGTCGTCGTATGATCTTCTATTAAATTTATTACTATTATGTCTATTTTATTTTCTAATCTCCGGCTATAATTCGAAACACTAGCTGCTTCTATGTATGTTATCAAATTCATTAGTATTAGATTCAAATTTATTGTGGTATAATGACATGATGTCCAATATGTTGATGTGAGAAACTTTCCTTAATTGGTAGGATAATTGCTCTTTCCGTGTTCATGGCATCTTTTTTTTTTTTTGAAGATAAAGTCTAGCATCATCAAGTTACACAATTCAAACTTAAAATAGTTGCATAAAAAATTTTTACCAGACAACTTCAAACAATGAATGAAAGTATCTTCATTGTTAGCGTTTGCAACTTTTAATATAGGCGGTGGAGGAAAGCTGTTCTATTTTTCAGGAGAAATTGAAGGGTTCGTTAATAGTGTGATGCAATATTGCTAATTGTAGATGAAGTAATTGGTTTTTTTCCTTTATTCTATAAATCATTATTATTATTTATTATAAACCTACTCGCTTCTTTTTTCTTGGAACGTTTTTTTTTGTTACTGTTTCCTAAAAAGCTTCATTTTTTATATTGATCATTTTTCGCAATTTTTAATCAAAGTTTGCATAATCACAAAGAAAATAGATTCTCTGATATTGGGGCTTTCATATAATATTATTGATTGGTCGAATTACGTATACATTGTCTGTAAATATCATATAAATAAAATAAGTCTATTGGAGAGGCTTTATTCTATTATTCCTTCTCTATTCAACCAAAGCAAGCAAGTGAAATCAAGCTTCTTAAATGTTTATTTTATGTAAAATCACTTTATTTTCATACCTTCCACTTGTGACTGCATCTATTGTCAACGAAGATTATAAATCTGAAGAGGATGATATAATGCTTTGACACATTTTTCCCAGTCTTGTTTGTCATGCTGTTCAATGTTTCAGGGAAAACTGAGCCTATCAAAAATGTACCGTTGTCACTTGGGTAATTCCGCTAATAGTTTCTTTTGCCTGTGATGATTTGCTGAGTATAAAGTTATTATTGTAAGCATGGATTTTACGTGTGATTTATGCAGCATACGCGATAATCAAAAATAAAAAAGTTGGTGATAATTAGAAATTTAAATCTTATCTTTAGATTCTTCCAATATTCTGGATTGTTATTAATTATTTATTTTTAGTTTATTTACTTTTATTATTTGTATGCGAAAAAAAATCAACCCGCTTAAAAATTTATGTTAACTCAGATGCAGAAACATGATAAATAATAATTTCTTAAGATGTAAATTAATAATTGAAATATTAATTGAATTCTAATTTCGAAGTGAAATTGTTCCGGTTAACAATACAGATATAAATAATAACTAATAGAAATGTTGTAAAGTTTTATTAACGATTTTTATCTCCTCGTGCTATTGATAGCAAATACCAATGGATGGTAAAAGAGGAAGACACTTGATGCTATCGTGGTTAGCACTAATTTAACCTTAAAGATGATCAATGTGGTTTCTGTCAAATGTAAATATATTACACTTGATGGATGTCTTCTTTTAAAGGAACTTGGGTCCTGAATGTAATATAAACGATCAATAAGATTATAACAATTACCTTCCACATTAATAATCTATAACAATAATTTCTCTAATTAATTTAATTGATTATCATTTCATAATAACAAACTATTCCATGATTGTACAACAAACAAAAAATTCTTTAAAAAAAAAACCATGTTTAATTTGCCACCTGAACTTTTAACTAAAATATTCAAATATATTGAAGATGATAATAAAACATTATGTTCTTGTATTCTTGTCAACAAAAAATGGTTCAATATTTATATTCCAACTTTATGGAAAGATCCATTCATTTGTAAAGACAGCATCAAAATATTAATAAATTGTTTATTGAA